ATCGCCCCCCTCTTGCGACTTGAAAGTGCGTGACAAAAGTGCTGGAAGCTCACTCGACCTGCCATCCACTCTTTCGTCCACAAGCCCCACTTTCCAATGCCGATTGCCACATGACGCTGCTTCTAAAGCGCGGGCACAGTTACGGTCCAGTGTCATTGGTCACTGGAGCAACTGGAGCTAAGCTCGTGAAACTCGTCCAACACGCCCCTTCTCTATCCCAAGGTGGAATGCGGCTGAAATAGAGGAGGTCCTTATTCGGGGCGTAATCGGGGTTCTCTTGCTTTCTTCTTCTTTTCCAGACCACCCACCTCTAGCTTCATCAGTGAACGCTCTTCCAAACCTATGTTACCCCGAGATTTACCTTTTAGTCTCTTCCAAAGTTCTTCGAAGAGGCACTTCAGAGGTTAACAATTCTGTTGTTGATGGGTGTTCTTTTCCAAAAGCAGTGCTTCAGGCACTTTTTGAATTTTCCTAATTTTTCAAGCTTGAAGGCGCGCTCCAGGATCAAAGTGTTGTGGTTCTCGCCCATGAAACTCGATGCATTGGTGTGAAATGGATCAGCACTGAAGAAAAATGGGGAAGAATCTTTTCGAAACGCTCAAGATGAGGGGTTCATCTGTTATTCGCCTCGGTTGTACTAAAGCAATGAGAGAACGAGCACGGAGAAGGGAGGATAGGCGAGAGATTACAGCTGACAAGAGGGCGCAGACACTTTCATATGAGCTTGACGAAAAGCGGAAGGGGGTAGCGGTCTTTGCAAGCCTTTCGCGCCCTGATCGCGTCAGCCGAGTCATTTTGCCTCAACCTTTCATCCTGCACACTAAAAGAGTTCATCCACCTCTCATCCTGGACTGTGCCTTTTTGTGTTTGTTACAATTATATAATTACCATTATGTAATTATATGCATTAATATTATATGCAAAATTTTACAAATATGTTATACATATGAATTAAAATAGATTATAAACACATAATTTTTGCAGTATACGTGTAAACTACTCACTCCAAAAATCTACTTCCGCTTCAACTGGAGCTGAGCTACCAACGGCTCCGACGATCAGTTCTGGATGTTGCTGGCGAGCCCAGAGGGATAGAGCACCTAGAAACATGTTTTATTTCTCCCTCGTTCTCTTTTCTCTTCATCTTCGGGGTCTATTTACGGAATAATATTGAGCCATGAACCTGAATATGATCCTCCGAATGTTATCCAAGATGCGTTGCCAAGGTTGTTACTCTGATTCATTGTTTGAATAAAATAGGCTATGTCTTCGATTGCTTGACGACTGCTTAGAAACCGCAGATTGTCCACCGACTGATCGCTGAAACAAGTCCACCGCTATGTAACGTAAAATCGGAAAAGAATAGGCCGTGTTGGGGTGGCAGTCTTATTCTTGGTAGATGGCATGATTATTTAGAAAAACTATACTAACGCAGTTGGACGACTTTGGCCGTAAAACCGATGTTCGAGATCAAATAACACAGCTCCTCTTTCTTTTTTTGCCCACTGAACGAATGGGTAGGCTTCATTTGAAACCTGAAAAGAGTGACCTGCAGAGGAGTTCAAAGCACAGTCAATGGTTAGCTCTCCGACCTACGTAAACGGAACTTGTATTTGCGATGTTTACAGGGGCCATTGAAGCTCACGTCGAGAACAATAAAAATCAACTCGTATTTTTGAGAATTGATGGGGTTGCGATGCAGGAGGTCTGCTTTTGACGGTTTTCTGGCGAAAATTCACAAAGAAGTTTAGAATAGAGAAAAAGGGGAATTCGCCTATTCTTCAGGTACGTTCCCCTTCCCCTCACCCTTGCCCCGCCCCTCCCCCCTTCGAGCAACTTCGAAGATGAAAAAGAGGGCGGAGTTTTGAAGCGTGTCGACCGCTCTTAGGAATGCTATAAAAAATTAGCCATGGTAGTGAGGGGTGGTGTGGAGATGGGAAGGGGGGGGGGGTGACTGAACGCAACGGTTGACCCTGGATGAAATGATACTTAATTAACAAAGTTGCGGAATCCGGACCATTTAAAGCTTTCAGCTTCCCACGGAATTCGAAAGGAGACCTCGGTCAATCAGGAGTACTGTTCGTAACGTGAAGACTAAAACTACTACGCTTAACCTTGCAAGTGAGTTGTAAGGGGTCAGATTCGGTAAGGAGCGCAGGAAGTTACTGCCATATGTGGCGAGCTAATCTATCCGCATTATCATTTTTTATTTTCTCTGAAACTTGGCCTATGTGGTCGAGCAGGTAGGCCGATCAAAAGTGACATTGTTTTCTGACGTTAGGTCTATCAGGCTCCGGTTTGACACCAGAACTCACTTTTTGCTGCGTTAATTAAACCGCTCAAAACCTGGATCAAGAACCACTAATTTTGATCCTATCTATTTACATGGGTTTCTATCCCAAGTTCCATGGGAACTTGAAAGCCTTCCCAGGATAGTCGCCCAGGTTGTGCCCAGCAAACTTCCAAACGTACATGAGCAAAAGTAATTTATACAGTCCCTGGAGAGAATTCTTTGCTGAAAATTTGCTATGTTGGATGTAGCTTTTTCCTCGGAATAAATTACTCACCCAAGCGATGCTTTCTGGGCCTTCTCCTCCTAGCATGAGAAAGACGACATTTGAACCTGACCTTTGATATCGAAAGTTGGAGAAGTAGCGCTAAATCAGATACTTTTGGTATTTCACGGACAGCACGAAGTAATTTAGGCATTATAGTAATAGCAGCTGCGAGATTGCAGAGTAGTGGTGTGAGATGGAAAATGATTGAAGGAGGTGCAGGAAGGAGAACAAGAATGACCGAAATCTCGGACAAGGGGAACTTACCTAGAGGAGAGCTAGGCGGACCCCTGAGTTTGTAGACACCCTTGGAGGTCCGCATCGAGACATACAGACATGC